ATCTGCTGAAGTTCCCCTTTAAGGCACCTGGAAAAGAAATATCATTATCTGCAACATTTTGGTTTTTGTACAAATTTAACAAAGATGCATCATGACCTTTAGAGGTGCTGGTAGGCACATTTTGCTATTGGATTTTGCTGCTAGACTGAATCAAACTAGTATTTTCTCCCTGTTTCCTATCTTTGCGCTAATCTAAGCTAACCAGCTTCTGGCTATAGTTTCATATTTATCATATAGACATGACAATGGTATCGATTTTTCATCATATATTTCTTGGCAAGCAAGAGAAAAGCATATTTCCCAGAACTTCCACATTTGCTTCACTTAGTCATGGTCACTGTCAGTTGGTTTCAACAGAAAATCTTGACAATATGGTTTGGGCGTCTTGTGTTACCCACATTCTCTCACCATTTGAACTTTACCAGATAGATTTCAAATATACAACATTAGCCTCCATTGATGCCTGGCTACCTGCCCAAGAGCTTTGTATACAAACTTACCTAGCCCATCTAAAATGTATCATTATATGGCTTGTATCTGCGGTTTCACCCACCCTACTCACAAAGGGATAATTAGCGCTTTTAGTGTATTCAATTACTGCAGTCAAGCGGAGGGATTAATAAAAGTCAGCAGTTGTTATTTACACCAGGTGTGAACAGTCAGTGCCAGCCACAGATAGTAAGGCAAAGCTATTCACAGCATCTGCAGATAGATGGTACTTGCACCTGAAACAAATTATTCAAACCTACAAAAATAAGTGTAACTATGGTGGGATGTTTTGTTTCATAATCCTCATCATGAGCATTAATACATTCATTATAAAGATATGACTAAGACTGCAATGTTTTATTACCATGTGTACATATCGAAAAGAGAGAAAAATGTAATACACTGATGAATGATGGTGGTTGTGGTTAGACCAAGAAAAAAGACACAGCCTCTATTTTATCCCCAAAGCCAAGTTTGATTCTGCCTTTCTTAAACTATTTCAGCAACAACAAGGAGTCAAATGTTAATTATTACACGGTTAATCCTACAAGGAAGTAAAGCACCATTTCTGACCATACTTAATTGTCTTTAAACATATGACTGACTTCCCATTTTACATCCTATACCCATATATACTACACACACACACACACGTTAATGCAGTTTCATTAATGTGCAGAAGCCTTTTACAGGTAATGTATTAACATGAACGTCAACCTTGGCTCAACGGGCCTCATTCACACAGACAGCCCACGAGATGGCCAACAAATTATGTTATACTATTCTATTTTGAAACATGAGGTGATTACTATTAAAACAGAGCTCCATTAAAGGTCTTCCAGTAATGTCACCACTGATGGTGGGTCATAAAGGGTCATAAACCTCTGTGGCGTCTTAAGTTAAGGACCATCAATAATTTACTTCCGTTTCTTCGCTTCCCGTGCTCTCACTCCACCCCTGACCGAAACTGGGCTTTCCAGATAAAGGACCGTTCCACTCATTGCTACACAGAAAAGACAAATACAGCCCAAAATCCCTTCCTATAGCTGGTTGAGTTGAGAGTTTCTTTGTTATTTACTGTAACACTTTACACTTTCACTTGTAGGTGAGCTTACAATAAGTTAATAAGTTACACAATCACTAGTTGATTTACATTCATCAAGTTTAACTTTTTGACAGCAGAGACCTGGGACATGGAATGTTTGGGATACACTAGGGTCTCTGTTATATAGTGTCTGTGCATTCATGAAAGGCAATCATTGTCTCTATTCAATTGCTGCTACCTTGCTGAATATGCATAGCATAACCTGGAGCGTTACGGCCATATTTGGTATTAAACTACATGGACCTTTGACACGCAGAGTGTCCTAACTGCCATGAATAAACCATTCAGCAGGGTTTGCTGTCCACCTGCTGTGCCCTGCCCACTGACAGAACAGCTTTCCTGCTAAAAAAAGAAGTATAAAATAGGTTAAAATGTGGGGCCAATAAAACTACATAGTAATCAAAGCCTTCAGTATACATGAGGAGAATCAAAATGTTTTTATATTCTGTGTACTCCTAACAGTAGAATGAGCCAGTATGAACCTATATTAAGGCCCAGTCATGCAAAAAACAAAAAGATAAAACAAAAACATAATGTGATATAGCTTTGCTTTATTACAACTCAGCTCAGTGATCACTACACAAAAGGCCCATACGATACAAGAAATCTTGGCTTACACCCCCATGGTTACCATCATGCCTGAATATTTCTGGTACAAAAGCCACAAATACAAGACACAAATACAAACAGTCTAATAATGTGCAACATGTTAAAACTATAATAAAATGTTTGATGCTAAAGTTTGATATTGCATTGTTAACCCTTGTCAATATGTCTATAGGTGGTGTTTCAGCTTCAATGACTGAGCGACTGTTTTGTCCACAAGAGCAACAAAAAGCAAAAAGCAAAAACATGTACTGTAGAATGTTGATAAAAAAAAAATGAACACATGAAAACAATGATGCTCTCTCACAAAGGTTGACAGGACCAGGTTGAATTGTGAATATTATTGCACTGCCATGGCCTTTCTATCACACTGCCATGGCCGTCTCATCCTATTCCAAGCCTATTCCATATTTATTAGGCCTATATTTCTAATCTTTCTCCATTTCACAGACACACTTTCCATCCCCACAGTGATACAGCAGAACAGGAAGTCCACTTTAATCAGCACAGTGGAATTTGAGATTAAACTTGGAATTTGAGAGGACAATGACCCATGACCCAGTGCTGCATCCGCATCCAGACAGTCATACAGCTCTCATTCATGCAGTCATTAAAGACTAGTCTATATTTCCCCCCTGATAGGTGACTTGAAAGCCCTTGAGGGTGAAAGTATCTTCCATTAATGTACTGAAGTAAAGCAAATTCCAGATCTGCACTACTCATATGCATGTCTGTGGCCTTGTGGTTGTGTATTAGAGCAGAGTAAAACCATTCATATCATAGACTGTGGTCTGTACTCTCAGGCTCTGTTAGACAAGCCTATGCATGCATGCATGCTCAGCCAGGGAGGCAGACAAAAAGACAGGGAAAAAAAGGTATCCTGGAAATCCAACAACCTCCAAATAATGAATTATGTGTGTTTTTTTGCAAAGCTTTTCACCAGCAATATAAATGCTTCCCAATGGGAGAGCACAGGGTTATTCAGCTCCCGGTGGCTTGAGTTCAAATATGGACCATTCAGACACTAACACAGCAGACTTAAATAGCTGTAATGAATGCATCCTCTAATTACAAGGCGCCTGTGGCTTTCAGGTAGTTACACTTATAAAAGATTATTTGTGGACCCCTAGGAGTGGAAAAAGGGCCACGTTGGGCTACTTACTCTTGAGCGCAGTGATGAGCATATTCCCATCCTTGATGAGGTCTTTGATGAATTTATTTGTCCGCTCTAGCTCGATTTCATGGCATTTGATACGCTCTCTGAAGTCCGGACTGTCCAGGAAAGAGTCCGTGAACTCCAAAGTGGGGAGTCCCATTGTACCCCAGCGACCAAGTTGCTTTTCAAACTTCAGAACTCGGTATATAAGAGTTTTTCACTTTTCATCACGTAGCTCCGATGTAATACAGCCGCCTCCAAATTGACCAAGAAAAGTTTTCCTGCTCCGCTGAGTTCCTCACTTCCGCTTGGATTTTCTCTTTTTTTCTTTTTTTTTTTGGCTACCTATCATAAAAAATAGTGGTCGTGTGACTCCTGCTGGTTAGTTTTGGATAGTTTACAGCACTTTCTGTAGACCCGCACTCGGTCCCTCTCTTACTCACACATTCAGGGACTATATTTTACAGTACGCCAGCCCTTAACCTTTGTTCAAAGTGAACATACTGTATCAAAGCAGCATTTCACATAATACAATAAACCGTAGTTTATACACAAACTAATGGCTTTTATTTTTTTATATGTTATATTATTATGGGTTGATCAGAGGAGTTAAAGCAGGACTGACTCAAGAGTTTTTGGGGTTCCTATGAACAGAATATGACCCCCCCCCCACCACACTTCACTTCCCATTTACCCACAAATCACTAAGAAAGATACATTGACAGAGCCACAGTGAATCTGAGTTCAGTTTCTGCACAAATACAGAAATAGTACAAAACCACGAGATATAAGCACATAGGCTACTAATCTGATAGCATTATATTATTATTTCTCGGGCCAGCTTGAGTCAGAGCAGCATGTTTCAGCATCAATATGCTGAAGTCCATGTGTACGCTGATTTTAATGACCCTTTTTAAAATAAAAAATAAATGTTTTAGACCTGCCAAATAGGCGATTCTTGGCAGTTTTGCAACAAATTTGTTTCTGCTTCACATCCAAACTCCGTCATAGGCTTTTTCACAAAATCTAACTCTAAATCATTACTCAGTGCTCTTCATTTAAATTATTTTTTGCTATATAACAATTGTTATCTTATTATTAAACACTCTAAGCTGTGACTCATCTTAGGTTTTTGGATAAATGATGCCAGTTGGCTTACTTTCCAAAGTTGTGAACTGTATACTGTGCAGAAATGATGGGTGACAATGCATCATACTGGAATTAGTGAGGGTTTGAGGAAAGGGATGTGAATTAATACCTTAGTAAATGGAAGTAATTAAACAAGAGCCTAATTGGAGTCAGGGGAATTTGTCACATCCTTTTCATGCAACAGGGAAGGATTGTGATAATGATGTCATACTCCAAATGCGCATTTTGGTAGGCACGGAGAATAGGCTCTGTCACCAGTGGCACTAAGTCTGTTCGATGACTTTTTCTACTTATGGTGCTTTAAAGCATCAGGGGGCTGGGAAGAGGCATACTCTTTGAGCAAAGTGTAAAAACAATCTCCATGGAGAGGCGAAGGTTGCAGCGCTGGCGAGAGCCAACACACACAAATGAAAATGCATTAATAATTTAGTGCTTTGCTATCAACAGCAGACCATAAGCTCTGTGGGTGGGGATGAGCTTTTGCTCAGTGTCATTTGGAAGGTTGCCTTGTAGCCTTCTTCCTTGATAACTAACTAGCAACCTTTCCTAATAAGATACCTGCTTTGACTGTAGGTAGCAGAGAGATAAATCATTGGAGACAGATAACCTTCCTGGGCAGAGTCATGTGGCTGCAGCTGAGTTGTTAGTGTGTGTTAACGTCATATTCCAGCAATAGCAAGTAGGCCTGTGGTCAACCTGTACTTTCTAAACAGATAACAATAAATTTATTTTTTTATTATTTTTATCAATGTGCTGTTCTCATGAACTATAAAGTCATGTCTGGATGCGTCATCTGATCAGGTAAAAATAATGTAAGCAGTATACCAGGAATATTTTATTAGAGCTTTGACAAGCATGTCCCAGCTCACCTACAGTAGGGGAGCACAATGGCATTATGAATCTGACAAAACAAGGGGGCTTAAAAGGCTTCTCCCTATGTGTCCTATAACTGAATGAGACAGGTCTACAACATAGAAATATTACATAACTAGGAAGGTTCATGAGATATGAGACAGAGTCATCAATCCACAGGCATGATGCCCTAATATAAGAGATTCTCACTGAAAACCATATTGGATCTGAAGAACACAACGGATATAAACTGCAGTACATAGGCTCACAATTTAAGGTCACACTGGCTCTCTGATCTGGATACAGACAGGTGACAAATTGAAGGAAATACGTGAATAAATGAGTGGAGAAACATGATAATGCAGTGGTTTTCACACATTCTGATGAGACTAAATATGATGCAAATCAATTGAACATATAGACTAGGATGTTTGTGTTGTTTTTTCCGTTAAATTGTCACCGATCTGTACGTTTCCTGTTGAAATAACTCATCATCGCCTCTTTAACCACATTTGGACTGCAGGCCAAAGTGACCCAAATCTGACTATTTTGCTCACATGCGTCTCAAATCAGATTTTTTCACGACAGTGTGAACAGCACAAATAACATGGAATTCATTCTTTTAAATTCTGATTCAGGACACTTTCATACATGGTCCAAATCAAATACAGGCCTGATTTTTTACAATGTGTCATAGTCATATCAGAATTTATCTGTTACGTCGCTCTAGATTAGCATTTGTCATGCAGGGCACTTCAGGACCATGGCCTGTTCACACTGGAATCTGATATGATATATAATGAAAAAAACAGCTGAAAAAACAACCAAAACAGATCTGAGCAATAAATCAGAATTGAGTGCTAAGGCTTGCAGTGTGAACCCAGACTTTGTTTCACCTCTGATTTTACAAGATATCTAAAGGTTTGACACAGTATTCCACTATTTCTGACTCTGTGGCACACATACCCAAAATGCCTCAGGTGTCGCAGAAGCGAGCTACAGTCAAACAGCTGTGAGGACATGGAACTGGAACGAAGACTGGCCTCTGGCTGCACCTGAGGAATCTGCGACAATGGCTGCATCTGTTTCCCTACACATGTGCATTTACAGTGATGAAATCTCAAGTCTCCTAATGAAACCGAACAAGAAAACCTGAGTGATTAATTGGGAGGTGAAACGCCCATTGTGGTCACAACTAAAATCGTATTCAATTTGCATGTGACAAAGCTGGCCAGAGAGCCCAGTTTGCCTGGGGATATGTGATTATTGCAGCCATAAAAATACTGCCCCTGCATGCATTATCCATTTGGTGTGATATGACCATGGAAAAAGCAATGGTTCAGTGATCAGGTAACTCTCTGAAAGCTAAATATGATGTGCATTCCAGCTGTATGCTGCATTTGGACAAATTATGCAGAAAAGTAGTCTGAAATATTGCCTTAACAACACACCAGTAAAGACTTGTGGACGAGTGGCTAGCTGTGTGAAGCATGGCTAATTGCAATCTAAAATAGCTGCCTGTAGAGTCTTTCAGAAAAATTTGGTTTAATTAAGATGCTACTCAATAGAGAGCTGTATCCCTGTATTCCTCTCTCATAAAGGCATTCAAACATTCACATTAGTCATGCAAACACAAGTGTACTAAGAACCATTGCACATGGCTTTCTCTGTGACTGCACCTATTGAGACCAACCGAGATCCATGAAGAGACAGCCTGGGAGCATGCACAAACAAAATACACACATGCTCGGACCATGCAGCCTTTTCGCTTACACTAAGCGAGTGAGACATCTTTAACATATCGTACATGTGGGGGAAGAAATTAGATATGAGACACATCTTCCCACGTCTCGTTCTCACTGCATTAAGCAGGGCCACTCTGGCCCGGCCTGATGGAGAATCAGCAGCTCAAATGGAAAGAAAAGGCTTGGATTATACAACAGATATCAATAATCCATGCAGAATAAGCATTGATTAGCTCTGTAATGACTTATGTGCAAGTCAGGCAAGTTCTGATTAGATTTCCTCTGATATCTCAGCTTCGCACAGTGGGGCAGTCACTGCATGTGAGAAGCTGTCTGGTTTCCTAGTGGTGGGAGAGGTGGGGGGTTGTTGGTTCCTAACATGCCCCCGTCAATTCCAGCTCTCGTGCCATCATTCTGCAGCAGCAGCCCTCAGGGGGGCAGTTTGTTACATCGACAGAGAGCAGAGAAATGTGATACATTAGTGTAACTGTTGCTCCGAGTTAATTGCTGTGTGCTCTCTGCAGTATTGAACTAGGTTATTGGGTGAAAGATGATGACTATAAGATGGACTACGGGAAAAAAATAAGTTTCTACTCAATGCACAGCTCTCAATTTTCCATCTGAAAGAGATGAAGAGATGATAGAGTCACACTTGACATGTGTATTACTGGCTGGGATGCGGCTAACAGTTCTTACTACACCAGAGGAAGACATTTCATATGATATTAAGCCATAGCTGCACAGTGTAGGGCAGCGTCAGATAGAAGTGAATTTAATGCCATAGTGTTGTGTTAATTATGCATTCAAGATAAACAGATGCATCATAAAAAAAAGACAGGATTAGATAACTAGACTTCTTGTGATGGCAATTACCTCTAAATAATATGAGCTGTTTTCCCCAATCAACAATTGACACTGCCATGCATACTCTTCATTTAAATCAGGTATTAAGGTAATTGCACAATTTCCGGGTGGCACTCAGCTTAGTTCCAGAGGAGAGCTTTTGAGAACAAGACCTGTCACTGTTTTTGCTACTCATGATTAATGACCCTAATTTAGAAGGATTTTTTAATCCAATCATGCTCTGACATTTCCTATCAGATGGGTCCTTCCTCATTCTTTCTGTTGTTTACCTCCTGACAGTGCAATCTGCCAAAGTGGCAAGTGCCGGGCTCTCGTTTATGACTCCAATGTCCAGATGACGTTTGAGCAGTTATGCGCGATTACCTCCTCTTTACACAAAGAGGCATCTCTAAAGCATGTGAGTGTCCACAGGAATTCCATTTATTGCTTTTCGGCGAATGCTGAAAATTGGGATGGTAAGCTTTGAAATGCCACGGCTGCATATGAGTCGAGTCTGGTGTCAGGTAAAGGACACATCCTCTGGAAAATGCTAGAGCTAGAGAGTAAATGCAATCCAGCGCACATGAAAGCCTCGTCTGTGTCTCTGCATCTGTAGCTTTTGACTTACAAATCTTCTCAGCGCACATAAGAAGGCTTGTCCTCAGGAGCAAAGTGGTTTTATTTTTTGCCTCATTGACCTTCA